TGCAGCTGAAAGGTGTTGCTCCTCAAGGGAATCTCCAATTAACACCCAGACAGTGGCTTGAGATAGGCTTCAAGTTTATGCATGTAGGCTTACTAAGGATGTTTTGTGCGAGGAAATTAGATAAACTAAAGGGACACAACAGCAACAAAAAACAGACCCCATTTTCACCAGATCACAAACAAAGGAAACCAGTGTAACCAGTGGTTGCATTAATGAAAGATTTTCTATCAATGACTGATTCTTTTTAAAGGGCCATCCATCATTTTGACATCATTTGAACACTGAGGGTGATCCACTGTAACGTTCAGAAAATCACACGCAACGCTGTCAATAACCACAAATGGACCAGACAGCGATACAGGTCACAGGAACTGTGCCCTTGGTGCATAGAAAGCAGATGATGGAGGATTTCCTCTTGGCTACACAAGAGCGTGTAGGATCAGGAAATCTCCCAGCCAGAGAGTGTTGCCTTGAAGAGATTTTCCTCGACACAGTGTCCAGTAAAATTTAAATTACCCTGAGGAGTCTTCTCTCTGAGGTAAAGACACAAAGATCTAACGACAACAGCCTCTGCAGCAAACTCCCTTCATCCATTTGATTCGACTCAATTCTGTGAAATTGCATCGTATATATTTGCCTGTTCAGATGTAATGGCTGTAGGGTTTTGTGCCCTTCACTGTCACTGAAAAAGAGCTTTGTGTGATGATGTTGTCATGAAGAGTGACCATATAAAGGCCCATAAAAATACACAATCTGCATGTTTATTCTGTACATTAAATGTTATTGAGGAAGCTGTAGAAAAATAAATATCATTAAAAATTCAAAATGAATGGTAGAAATAAATTGTGTAATACAACCTCTGATTGTATCTTTCCATCATATTTTTTTCTTCTCTGTGGCGTTAAAGGTATTTTACACTTTTTGTTGACTGTGTAAGATCCAACTGAAGTGAACTGCATTTACACTTTGACGGCATCAGCACAATGAACCACCCTGTTCACCTGATTTTACCGTACCGCACAGAATGTCTTTTTTCATTAATGCCGATCATGTGAATGCAACATAAGGAAGGTGACACAAAGAAGCAGGTTCATCAACAACGCTGACGACTTGATGTCCTATAGGTGTTTTTCAAAGAACAGTGATACATTGTTTTGTTTTTTTCTACACATTTTCCCACATAGAAACGTGTCACATATAACACATTGTTATTAGAAACAGATGTTGATTTTAACGCCGGTGTCTGTGGCTTCTTTCACAACGTCGACACAGTGTCATATGCGCTGGGATACCAGGACACATTTGCATGACATACACACCTGTCCTCCACAATCACAAACACGCTGCTGAAACACAATACGCAAGTAAAACTCAGGAGAGTAATGTTTCATTACATGATGAACAGAAGGTGAGAGTGAGGAAGGGGAGGCGGGCAGGCGCACACATGCATAACTTAAGTAAAAGCCATCGAAATTCATATTTGTTTACAGATTTGTTTAATAAGGGGAAAAATATATGCAAACAAATGAATTTGCCTGTGGTTGTAACTGTGTATTAAGATCATCACTTACAAGGCCAGGTCTCCCCTAGCCCTCTACAGCAGAGATCCATCATGCATTATTAAGGAAAATAGAATCTGCATAAAGCTGCAACAATGCCTTGAAGAAGTTAATTTATTTATTTGTTTTATCTTTTTAGGCACTAAGCAGCACATCCAAATACTCAGTCGCTGTGAGCTAATTACAAAGCATTTGATCTCTGTGCCCCGAGGATGTGCAATTATAACCTTGGTGGAAAATTAGGGAAATATTTCAAAATTAAAAATAGTGGAATGAAGAAGCTCTGAAAAAGCTAATGGCGACATATCACCTGTGTGTGTGTGTGTGTGTGTGTGTGTGTGTGTATAAACACAGCTTTTCTTACTGAACAGGACAGGAGTCTGATTTCAACAAAGCCACTGCCCTGCAACCACACTTGACCTCACTGGAGGGAGACGGCAGAGAAATAAGGAAATCTTCTATTTCCCAAAGCTACACCAGTCATCACGTACTCGCAGCATTTTAATTAGCAAAGAAAGTTCTAGTCGAGGGGAAATTTGGTAAAAATCGCCACTCTGTGAGGTACCTGTAGCTCTAGTCCTGATGCAGTGCTATCTATACCGTGATCAAACAGATGCCGCCACTCCTCTCTGGCATATCTCGCCGCACATCACACAGGGAAGACAATTGTCATTACCATTTTATTAAAATGTGTCCTATCAGCAACATTTCCCCCCCATCCTCACATATCTAACCTCCTTTCTCTTCCGCTGCTTTTTTTCCACCTCAAATTCTAATCATCATTCCCCTCCATCACTTGCTAGATGTAATTCCCTCTCTTCCTTCGTTTGCAAAGGACCTCTCCTTTCATCCTTGAGAAGGGCTTTAATTTGAAGTGCGACGCTGAATAAAGAAGGGAAGACGAAGAGAGTGAGAGAGAGCGGGGGAAAGGGAGAGAGCGAGAAAGAGAGTGATATGGAAAGACAGAGCGGCGGAGACGTTCGGGTGTCAATCAATACAGCGCGAGGGGCTGCGAGGGCCCATGACTAGGGTGCGTTTGATCTGTGTCTTTCAAAGGGGGAACAGCGGGAAGGGCCATCACAGATGATTTGCCTCTTGCTGCTGGCCCTGGTGCCACTCTGACAGAGAGCAATCACAAGCAGGTTAATTCAACATCTACCTTCTTAATCTTTTTTCCCCTGTCTCTTTCTTTTGGTCTCGTTCTGTCTACTTAGATGAAACACTGCTCTTTCCGCTACCACCACCATCACCTCCTTTTTTCCCTCTTTTGAAAGAAGAAGAGATCACAGGTGTACTTTCAATGTCTTTTCAAACCCACCTATAGTTTGACTGCTTTGGTTTTGAACTGGTAAAGAGCTGGGGATTATCTGTATTTCTGCGATGGTTTACTTACATGTTGTTGCCACAAAGTTGCGATTGGTAATTTCTCTTTGGAAACAGATGCATTGAAATATTTTTTCTCTCGGGAAAGAAACACGATCATCCACAATTTTGGATAATTAATTTTGCTGTCATTCTATGCGTTCATATCTGTGTCAAATGAGTGTCAAGATGACATTTCAAACCCGCTGCCTCACTTGAATGAAAGAGGAGGATTTTCTTTCTCCAAAAGATGTGACATGATATCCAGACAACATCTGACCTTGACTCACAAAACCTAAAACATACGAGGCCTCCTACATCTGGGCTGAATGCCACGGCACTGACCTGGAGACTTAGTAAAACTGTTGTGTTCACATGTAACCTGATAGATCAAACTTATAAAGAAAAAGATAAAGAGATAAAGTAACAAAATGAATCTATAAGACAATCTTCTTCACCACAGGTCGGCCATACATAAGGACAAATAGAGGTGAGGGAAATTCTGGGGTGAAAGGGTGAGAAAAGGCATAAAGGTGTGCTTTGGCTAAAGAATAGAGAGAATGGAGAATATGAAGAAGGGGAGTGTTTTTAGATTAGTTTAGTTGAAGGTATAAAGGTTGTGCAGGGAGGTCAGGGGGGTGAAAGTCAAGAAGAGACTCAGTCTTTGAAATTGAAGAATACAAACTATAGCAAGAATGAGCCTGTTTCCGAAATTCTAAAAAATAAATAAAAAACTTTTCGGAGTCAGCACAAAGACAAGACTCGGACTCATTAAATTTCAATGGGAAATAAACGACTGTTCCACCAGAATGCAGCCATTTTCCAGTAATGTCCCCTGCCTGGCCTATGCCTCGTGGCGATTCCCTCGAACTATACGGCTTTTATGTAAGGTCAGAGGGATAACAGGATAAAGGCTGTCCTCTCTGCTCCTCTGAAGGACAAGCACTCTGCCGATTGGATTTGGTGGCCTTCAAGGACAAAAGGAAGAACACTGCAACACAAAGGAAGCAATAGAGTAGGACCAAGATTTCATCTGTCTCTGTGTCCTGAGTGATTGGCAGGGATGGCCAGACCAGCAATCTTTGAGTGCTGCCTCTTTGTGGCTGGGTGCCCTCCATCAGCATTATATAGCGAGACAAAAACACGCTCAGGGATTGTGGATGATCTGACCTCAGTGGAATAATAGAGCCCATGAAGGCAGCGTTGGCTTAATTCAGTGGAATGATTTCAAATGTTGATTTGTCTATGATTGTATACTACAAGAGTTTGTGCACACAACATGGAGATTAGGGGGGGCAACTGAGAACTACCACCACTTCCATAAAGTTGAGGGATTCAAAGCAACGCTGCAACCCAGTAACACTGGATCCTACAATTCCAGCAATGCAACTAAATAGCATGAAGGGTATTCAAAACCACCAATTTGTGATATAAGTTTAATGCCAATGATGAATATGATAATAATATATTTTCTTCCACAGGCTGAGTGGAACTGCTAGAGACAAATTAACTGATAATGATAAGTACAATTGTTGGAGAGACCCTTTAACTCTCAGGTGGTCCAGCGGACTCAATGGAAGAGATGTGTGGTGATACTGAGCAGCTGCAGGACAAGAATGTTTGCAACTGTGGAAATAAGCATGGACCTCAACATTTACACACAGAAGTGTTCAGTAAAAAAAATTGGCTTTTGTAAGCAATGGAATACGACACAATTGGCATCACTCCATCGTCAAATGACTCTGCGTTTAGCACAGTTTCGGCTTTGATTGGCAGTGATGAAAACGTGACTCCAGGTAAACCGATAATTTGGCATAATTTGTTTTATATGTTTTTGTGATGGTGAACATGACACAACAGGAAAAACAAAATAACTGGAAGGCAAACTTCTCTACTGGCAATGGGAAAAGAGTCAATTACCCCTTTCGTGTTTGAAAAGCCTGCATATACCTGCTAATGTTTGTGTAAAACAGGTATAAGTCTTACAAGCTCTGTACTGGACTCAACCTACAGAACCCTGTAAAATTCAGAAATGTGCAGTTGTGAAATGTTTGGTTTTCTAATTTTCTTCAAGGGCACATTACCTGCATGTAGGTAGGCGAGGTCTGGATTCTCGATATCAGCGTGATTCTCCTTCAGGTGGTTTCGGAAATCATTGGGAGAGTTGGTGGCGTAGCTGCATTTGGGACAGTTGTACATCTTCACACCCTCATGTTTGCCAGTATGGAGAATGTGCTTCCGGATATTCTCAGCACAGTTAGATCTGAGGGAGACAAACAAAGATAAAAGGCCTCGTTCCTTTTTCAGAAATAAATAAAATAATAATAATAAAAAAAGAAAAAGGCAAAGATTAAAAGATGAGGGTCATGGGGAAGAAAACACAAGATAAACGCTTGGCAACATTCCCAAGAAATGTTTTTGCTGCATTAACATTCTATTTTGTTGCAATGATGAGACCCTCACACACACACACACACACACACACACACACACACACACACACACACACACACACACACACACACACACACACACACACACACACACACANCACACACACACACACACACACATATACAAAGTTGAGCTTGGGAGCTGCGGGAGCAGACGTGTTTGGAAAGACTCTAAAAGCATTCATAGCCTAAATATGCCTCTGTGAAACAGTCAGCAAATGACGAAATAAAACCTCTTCACATGACAATATTTACATCTCACAGATTCTTTGATATTCTGTTACACTCTTACTTTTCTCTTAGACATTTTCTTTCCTCACAGTTGGTCGGTTTAGAGTGTAATGGTGCTAGAATCAGTGTAACGACTGCTGAGACAGAGGCGAACTAAAGCTAAATTCACACTGCAAGCCTTAGTGATTTTTATGTAGCTGTTCACATTATTTTTTTAAAATGTGGCCAGTATCAGTCTCCAATGTGAACTGGTCATGGCCCTGATGTGACTCGCATGCACAGAAGAACAAGAAGTCACAAGCGGCACGCTGTGTATACAGAAGTAAACAAGCAGAAGAAGTCGTTAATAAACATGGAGGCCACAGATGTGAGCGTTTATGGTTTCATTTTTCTCCTGATGCTTTCAAACAGACCGGTTACGATATGACCTCTCAGGTTGCTTACAGATGTGTGTCACCCGAAGTACTTATGAGGTCCAAATCCTCACTGTCCCTCCACCGACTACCTCTCTCACAGCTGTCTTCCATGTTTGTTTTTTTGCCAGGTGTCTCCAGCCCGCCCCCTCTCCTGCGCACAATTAGGTGGAATGTCGATCTAGAGTGATGTAAAAGTCGCATTGAATTCCGATACGGATCTGATCTGTATCTGATTAAGAACCACATTTGAAAGTGGCCAGAATTGGATTTGAAGATCAAATTCTGTGTGCTGTTCACACTGTCGTTAAACAATCAGATCTGTTTCACATCTGGGGGGGGAGAAATCTGATTCGGGCCGCTCGAACGTTGCATAAATGCATCAGAGATATGCCTGAGGACTTTCATTATTCAGTATGTATCTTAAGCACATGTATTAAAGGTGTACAAATAGTGGTGTAGTATGTGTGTGTGTGTGTGTGTGTGTGTGTGTGTGTGTGTGTGTGTGTGTGTGTGTTTGTGTGTGTGTTTGTGGGGCTTTGGGCTGGTCAGATAGGGCAGGGCAGGCATTGAGCTACTGCAGGGTGTAGGATGTAATGATGTCAGCTCAGAGAGTCTCACACAACCCTCAGCTGATTAATGATGCTGCCTGACCTGCTCCCAGGCTCTATCTAAACCTGCCCACAAACACACAAGCACACACGCATGTCTTAGTGAAGCTCTGAATGGGCAAGAAACAAACAAACATGCACATACATACATACATACGTGAACATGAAACGTTCAGTTTGTACCAAATAAAAAAAAAAAAGGAAAAAGAAATCTCTGATATGACAAGACGGGTGCAGAATATACAGACACAAATCCATAAACACCCACACCCACACATGTGTACCTAAGCACACACATAATGCATCATGCAAGCAAGCATGTGCAGTGTAGAACACAGCTCCATACACACACATAAACACACACCATCATGTGTTGATGGATGGGGCACTCGTGCTCAGTTTGGACCTGACATTCTCGGACAGTATAATACGCAATTACTCTCCCTTATCACCTTGGCCGGGACAATAAAGCCTCACAGTGCCATAGCTCACGCCAGCCAAGGAGAGAATTTGTTTTCACTTTTGCAGAGACACCTCTCTCCATCATGGGGCCACAGTCCAGCCTGGCTCCACTGGGGCCTAAACAGAGCGGGCCCTCGCTGCGTTTCTGTTCCTGCTGTATGAAATAAGCACCAGCAAGGGGTGAACAATGAGGGTTCTTCACAAAGCCGAAGACTAAAGCAAGCTGGGATGCCACCATCTCAACAAAAGAATAAATAACGCTTTATATGACCAGTTCTGTTAAAGCATTAACAAATACAGAAATACTACCGGGCAGCTGACTGATACAATAATTCCACCTGATGAGTTAAGTTCTGCCTAATCGCTATACAAACATTCAGAATGTGAATGTGCAGAATCTGTAGGAGACAGGTGGATTTTGGGGACGGAAGCCTTCTGCTTTCTTTTTCTAGTTTGACCAATCACATGTGAGCAGACTTTGGTTGACGCACAGTCCACGTGGAAAGCAAAAGAAATGCCTCGGCTCTCTCAGCTTTTTTGATTTATTTGCATTCATATGCAGATAGATTTTAACAAAGACCAGCCAAAATGTTGTCTGCACCTACAAAACTGTGTTTTGTGTGGGGGAACGTTTGACTCAGGTGATACAAGGAACTAGTGGGACTGTAAACGATGTACAGCCATTAGAAGACAGTCTTGGCCTGGATAACTGCTGTCTACACCGGAAGCCACAACAAATTGGCCGATGACTTTGAGATTGAGCTCTTTCTGAGTGAATTTTGTATTTCTGGGTGTACAAGCAGAAAAATATCAACTAAAAAAAACCCCAAAAGATATATGTTTTACAAGAAATCAGAATTAACAAGCATCAAAAGCAGAAACAAAGACTGAATCTCCACTAACCACAGCTTTACAGTAAATGTACTGAGTTTGAAGAATCGGAAAAGGTTAGAGCATCTTCACGAGTCTGACTAACTGTTGATGGATGAATATGTAAATAACCATTTATATTTCCACATACTGTCAATTACTTATCCAGCAATCGCATTGTTGTAATTACGGTGCTATCGGCAGCCGCTAGCAAAACAAGAACAGGTTCACAGACACATCATGGCCACATCTGTTGACTGTTCTTTTGCATAATGAAGAAAAAAGACAGACTTAAACATTTTAAACTGCCACATGCTCATGAATTAACGCAAATCATGCGGCTAAAAAATGCATTTAATACTAAAAGTGATCTCATTTCTTATTCAAAAGAGGGAGCATTAAAAGATAAAATTTTGAAGCGGAGCTAAAAGGTTGTAGAGAGAGCGCGGGTGGATTCCTAGGGGGGCCATGCTATCTCTCAGATATGGTAATGGCGTAATTGTCATATTAAAACAACACAACGTGCGTTTAGGAGTCAGCAGGTGTCACAGTTAGTGAAAGCCCACACCAGTCCTCCTACTATACACTGTATTAATTAGTCTAACACTGTTTCAACTTCCTCCCCCATCCATGCACTCACCATGGGAATCAGCCATACTGACGGTCGATGGATATATCACCCCTTCTCTCCCTCTTTCTGCTGCTCTCTCCCCTTTATTTCATCCATTTCCATATTCCTCCTCCCAACGAGTGTATGGTAATGGGAGAGGTGTAATTGAGAGGCGCTTTGTTAGAGAAGATTTAAATGTGTTTCTTTGTGAGTGTTGAGAGTTGCGGGGGGGGTGTATTTGGATCATTGGCGCTATTTGGATCTTATTCTGCCAGGGAGGCCCAGTTATCATCATTAATGCCTCCCCCTCCTCCCTCAACTCTCCCTTCACTTTACAAGGTCGCAGGCCCGCCTGGCATTGACGGTAAAGATGTCATCCTCAAAGCTGCCGTTGCCTCGGACTGAAACGGTATCTTAACAGGTAGATTGAACACATGAAGGCAGCAGCACTCAATAAACAATAATAGCCCCAGAAGGAGGGTAAGATGGCGGGAGTCAGAGGTCGCATATCAATTAGACTGTTTAAGATGCCACTGCGACTTTAATGAGAAAAAGGGGAAAAAACCTGCTCATTGTGAACAATACAAACGTATCCTTAAACAGTGAAGCAAAGAAGTTTTGCAGCATGCATAAATAGCCAAATAGATACCATTAATTGACAGCCCAGGACTCCTTGTGCAATGTCATTAGAATATTTTACCACCATTTCCAACTATAATTATCTCCCTCTATTATCTGTCTCTGTCTGAATAGGGGATGAGTGGCATTTGATGGATCATTCACTCCCTGCTCATTTACATGCATTCGAGGAGCGGCCTTGATGGCGTTAACGTTGTATCAAGTGGCTACCTTCGCTATCATCCGTAACATTTAATAGGGATATTTTAATATCATATATCAGATGGATCACGTTAAAATAGTCATAAACATTTTCTACAACCAAGAACTGTCAATCACTCAACCAAGTCCTTCATATTTCTTTACGTTTGCATCATTTTTATTTCATGAGCCCGGCCTGCACCGAAAGGTCAAATGCGCTAACTCACCGAGTAGCTCCTCATTGTCATCAAACCACCGGAGACGTCAGGGTTTTAAACATGTATTCAGAGTGTAAAAACATGGGGCCAAGGCAAGGCCGCTCACGGCTGTCTGAGGCCCCCACATTCAATTGCTCACATTAGCAAGCCAGCGGGGCATTTCCCCTCCCACCTCCCTCCTCCCCCACCTTTCTTCCCTCCCCTCTGGACCCCTCTGAACCCCTGGGGCCACCAAAATGTTAATTGGGCTTCTAATTTACTGTTTCATTTGCCACTATCTGTAATGATTATTAAGTATCAACGCAGGAACAATGGGGCCAGGGACATTTGGCTCTCTCTATGTGCGGTATCTTTCTGATATGGGGGTTAGTAAAATGTGGTGGTTCCATGTGGGTCCAAAATTTCAGCTAATTCGTATGACTGAATAGTTTTTTGCATATATTTTGAATACTTAATGCCTTTGATTCAATGAGACTGAGTTTAATAAGATATTTGGATCAGACTCAACAAATGTATGTGTCATCCTTATCTTCCAGCGTTGGGTTTCTTTCCTGGGTTTTCAGGTTATAGCATCCCGGGAGGAACACATTTTCTGTCATAACAAGAATTGAATTCTGGGCAAAACAACAAATGTCTGCAGTTTGCAGAATTACTGCACAGTATCAGCACTTCTAATCTAGCAGGAACAAGAGCGTAGAGCGATCTTAGTGCATTTTTAGAATGAACTTAAGCACATTGGAGTATTGAGCAAAATAGCTTAGTTTTTCAAGTATCAGACCTTACATCAGAAGAAATTGAGAAAATTTAAATGTAACCTCAGGGTTAGATTTGTTAGACATTAGCTTGAAAAGTCAAGGGATCACAAAAGTTATAACAGTTCATCTTGAAGGAGAATCAAAGGTAATCCGTCAAGAATCATTCAGTTGAAATCTACAAACAACATCATGAACAAAAGTCACAATTTACTCCCCAAAAAACTAAATGTCAACCTTATGGTGGCACAATATCAACCCGCACTGTATATGTAACTACAAATCTTATATAGTTGAACTCTCACATTAAGCATAAAGCACAGATTAAAACACGATAAAGCCATCTCACATATTTAAATCATATTTGTGATTATTTAGCCACAAATGTCTTCACATCTTCTGTGCATCTGACATCAGTTAAATGACTCTACAAGAGTCATTCCTTAATACAAAAAGAGTTTGTAACTTAAGGTACCAGGTGAGATAATCCTTTGATCATTAAATGAATCAACTATGATTATCACCATCATTTTTTCCCTCTAAAGTGGTATGCATACAAAAGGCAAATGAAATGAGTGGAGTGTTTCACTGCAGCGGAGCAGGTGTAGCAAGCTGCTGAAATGACTTTGTCACAGAGGGGAAAAAACAAATGAAGAGTACATCTAAAACTAATGATGGGTTTGAGATCATTCCTTTTCACACTCTTCTGCCACAACCTGACGAGGAAGAACAGGATGAGGGAAAGACAGAGAGAGAGAGAGAGAGAGAGAGAGAGAAAGACAAGAGGAGGAAAGAGAGAGAGAGAGATGGAGATGTGCAACGCCAGCCAAAACTTTTTCAATTTCACCGACAATTTCCTGTGTAATTACTGATGTGGTATGATGGTGTTTTAACGACAGGGACCTGCCGGTGACAGTGTGTGTGTGTGTGTTTGTGTGTGGGTGTGTGTGTATTTGTGCATGTTGGGGGATCTGGCTGGGCCTGTTGATGATGGCAGAGTGATGAGATGGAGCCATGCTGTGGAGATTAGACCTGTCTGCTCTCCACCTCTCTGTCTCTCTCTCTCTCTCTCACACACACACACACACACACACACACACACACACATATATATACACACACACACACACACACACACACACACACACACACACACAAACACGCAAGCACTCCTGCACCCACGCACACACACACACACATACATATACACACATACACACACACACACACACACACACACAAACACACACACACACACACGCAAGCACTCCTGCACCCACGCACGCACACGCACACACACACACACACACACACACACACACACACACACACAGGCTCTAACGTTAATGCCACCCTTCCAGACTACCTTAGATTGCCACCTGCTATCTCTCTCTCTCACTCACACACACACACACCTGACCAATCACCCTTCTGATCATCAGTACCATGGTGGTGGCCATCAGTGCCACCATCCATGGGCGGGTCAATGAGCCAGTACCTGTAGTCGCACCAGGGGCAGCGGTATGGTTTCTCCCCGGTGTGAACACGTTTGTGTCGCGATAGGTGGGACTGTGTAGTGGAGGCGAAGTTGCAGAGCTTGCATTTGAAGGGTCTTTCTCCTGTGGGGTAGAAAGGTTGAAGAGATGAGAGTGAGAGACTGAAAATTTTTGACACACACTGACACATAAACATACAAACCCAGGTAGAAAGATACGATCACCATGACTTGGCTAATTTGTGACACTACTCTACGAACTAAAGTATGCAAATTTCACTGGGGTACTCGGACAGCGCATCCTCCTCCAAGGCCAACCACCTATCTAGCAATGTTGACAAAAGTAAACAACAAATCTTGGATCCAACCACTGAATTGAATCCTCTGAAAATGTATGGATTCTTCCTCAGCCAATATCCCACCCTTCAAGAAATTAAAAGAAAATTGATTCTGTAGTTGTTATGTTATCCAGCTAACAGTCAAACAGCACGAACATGAAGAAAATACCTCCTTGGCCAAGATATTGCTACAAAAAGTCAACTGGATATACCCTCCCAAATAATATTCCCACCAAGTTGGATGAAAATCTGTTGATGCTTTGTTGTGTTATTTTGTATTCACACACACAGACAGACTGATGGAAGCACTAACCTGTTCCTCGCTGTGCTGAAAGGCACTTTTTTCAGGCAAAACACAACCAACACAGACATTAAAAGTTCAGAATCTTTCTGAACAGATTTTAAGTGTGCGCTGTCCCTCACTTGTCAACATTGTCAAGTATAAAAACTATACATTAGTTAAAACATAAAATATCTTGCTTGTGAGATGTGTTGCAGTTCAAGCTGAAACACCTAAAGGTACAGTGTGTAGAATTTTGTGAAATCTAGTGTTGAAGTTGCATGTTGCAGCTGAACACCCTTCACCTCACCCTCTCCTTCCAAACATGTAAGACAACTTGTGGAAGCCTTCAGTTTTCATAAAAACTCAACAGATGTTTAGTTTGTCCAGTCTGGACTAATGTAAAAAAACATGGCGGCCTCTGTAGAGAGGACCACCCCTCCATGTAAATATAAAGTATTTAAATATAGAGGGCCTTTTCTAGGGTAAAGAAAAATACAATTTGTATAATCTAGATGAAACAAACTAATCATGAGGATTATTCTACATTAAATTTCTTCCAGTATATCCCTGTCACTTAAATCTTACACACTCGACCTTTAAAACAGCACTGAAAGAATGTGTATCTGCTCAACATTTGAGACCAATATCACCAAACTCACCGTAAATAAACTTACGAATGCATGGAGATACCAAATCAACATTAAGTTAAAATGGCTGGACCGATGTATTTAGGGGGAAGTGTTCTCTAAGAGGTTTGTGTGTTTCATTATTTTGATTTCACAAGGCTAACCAGTAGCAACTCAGCAGCTTCAGGATTGTCAGTGTTTATAGCTACTAACTCACATAACATTATAGCAGTTTGTTAAGGTATTCAATTACTAACAGGCATAACATGAGACACTGACCACTGTAACAGAGGAAATATCTTTATGATACTCAATAAATGAACAATGGTGTCTTTGGAAACATGAACCACATAGCAATACTGACATTAGCAGCAGCGTTTATATATCTGTACCAGCTAAACTCTGACAAGCACACAAAGACAGACAGGGTGGTCCCCTCATGTGAAGCTGCACCACAACAGATTTGAATAAACAGCTAAATCAGTGGAATTGACACATGTCAACACAGGAGAGGAGGACAGAAATTAGAGGTTCCGGGGCGGAATGACAGAGAAAGAGCAAACAAAATGAATTATGAAAACCCTAGATGAATATTTATAACAGGATTCTTGATCCTTGGGCGCCTGCCAGACAACGGTTAAGAACAGTATTTGTTTCACGATCCCAATTTCAAAAAAAGCGCTCGTTATTGACAGTCTATCTGAAAAATGCAATTTCCCTAAGCAACAGAATGACATGGTGAAATGATAACTGAAATTAAAAATATCAGATTCAGTCAGCCACCCTGGTACACATGCCTATCACTGACAGCAGCACGTCACAGTGATGTGGCTGCATGGGTGTGTGTGTGTGTGTGTGTGCGTGTGTGTGTGTGTGTGCAAACAGTTCCTAAAACTATGTGACAAAAATATTGTGGTTGTACAAGTGTCAGTCACCATCCAGAATCATGTTCATGGAGCCCTGCACGAACCTCAGTTGGGTTGCGTGATTGGATTGCGTGATTGGATTATTTCACAATGCGAGTTCAGGATGTGTGTGTCGTTTCTTACCGGTGTGCTGCCGTCTGTGCTTGGTGAGGGCGTGTCTCGTGCCTCCCGCAAAACCACACAGGTCACACAGATAAGACTTCTCTCCTGTGGAGGCAGATGGAGAGAAGATGAACAGGAAGGAGAGAGTGTTAGTGTTGTCTGTGAGAAACCTATGAGAGAGGAGAGGTCATGGATTTGTAGGCGTCAGAAATTATTCAACCTCTGTGTTTGAAATCAGAGCTGCTCATATTGCTGGAAACATAGTTTTTTTTAAATGTAGATGTATAGTTTTCACTTGGATTGTGGTAAAGGAGAGCAGTACTCTAAGAGTGACGTGTGTTATATTAGGGGACAGTAAAGAAAAGGAGTGGATTTGATCAGCTTTTTCTGGGTCGATTCAATCCTTCACAATGTGCCACAATTTAGCCTGATACTGATCGGTTTGGTGCGCAGACAGTATAAATAGATGATTGACACGTCTCTGCTTCCTCCCGCTATCCAGAAATGAAGCTAACCGAATTTGTGCATTTGCAGCCTGTGCGTCTGTGCAGCAGCAATTGAGGGACGGAGTTGGGTGCCGATGTCCTGCTGACACACTCGAACAGTTATCAGTCAGTCTCAGCTGTCAATCATGACGTTTCACACAGTTCTTATAGCATCAAATAACTCATTTAAACCAAACTGGAACCATTTGCATTTGAACAAATATCAGTGTGATGAGAACTTCCTACAGTTTAGTTTGTGTCCATGTCCCATCCACTAGCATGGAGGAGGCAGGGTTTATGACCTATACTGCAGGAAGTCACCTACTACAGTTGTATTATTAGTGGAAGAAACAGAAGCCACAGCTGTGACACTAAACTATCTTTCAGTACATCATTGGAATCAATGACATTTACACCATAAATACCAACATATAGCAACAAAACCAGTTTATTAATTCTACCTGTATATATCATACCTGTTAGATCAGATGGAGCATAATAAACTATTTCGATTAAAGAACATGTGCATATTTCTGATTTTAATAAGTTCTTAGCCTGTGTGTGAATATGCATTATTTTGCAGCCAGCTTGTTTTGACACACTGGGACTGCAAGTGATGTCGTTACTAATAAAATAAAGTGCTAATCCTCCCGCTATCATTCACAAGTGTAAGTGAAGCCACTCGACTCATGACATTCGCCTTTGTTTCTGCTGTTATCTGCCTCAGCTGAATATAAGTGTAATGTATCTGTCTATCTGACTTTTTAATTTAATGTTGTTTCAACATTAATCAAAAAGAAATACAATAAAACAGTTCAATTAAAACCTGAAATATCATGGTGTGGTAATACGTGAAAAGTTATCGAGGAGGTTTAATGAATCCTTTCAGTCCCCTGAGTCGGGGGTGGAATGAAGGAGGGTCACTTTTTCTAAAGTACATTGTTTGATTGTGAGTGCAGAAATGTGACAGGACACAGGGGGGGAGAGTAAAGGAATGACACACAGTAAATGGTCCAGCCAGCGGGAGTCGAACCAGAGACCTGCTGCTCAAGGCGTGTACACCCATGGGGTATGTCTCCTAACCATTTGGCCCAAATGAGAGGCACCGTCTCAATTGAGAGCTGTCGCTGAAGTGCCATTGAGCAGAATCTGAGAGCTCAAGTAAAGACGGAGAGGAAGGAATCGTTGAGTTAGTGAAATAACGAGGAATGTGTGAAGAAGGAGAGAGACAGAAGTGAGAAAAAAAAGACAGACTGAACAGATGAGCAGTGGCTCTAGTTGGCTAACAGATGAGCCAAGCAGAAGTCACAGATCACTAGTGTATATCCATCAGAGCTCTCACAGCTAACTAATTCCTCCAATCAGATGGATCCGTGTAAATATGTCAAATGGGGGACGGGAAATTGCCAGTGTGGTTTATTGACTGTGATAAAATCTGAAAAGCACCGCTGAACATAATTACATACTTGTCAGAGCCATAAAAATTAGCTTTATTATCAATGGGATGGTTTTGTACAACTTCATTTAGGGGCGATGCCTTCCAGATGGGGAGCGTGGAGAGCTTTTTTACACTCCTCCTCTCTTCCCTGCATCTGGCTCTGTCATTAACAGCATGATGCTCTCTCTCTCTCTCTCTTTCTCTCTATGCCATTGCACACAGGCAGTCACACACTCCTGCGCACACACGCATAGACCACAACATTTGTGATAAGACTCACTCAGGGAAACATACATGTGTGCGCACACACACGCACACACAATGCAGATATCCCCACATTTATACATGTATAATAATATACATGGAAACTCTGTGGGTGTCACAAGCTGCATGTACTGAATATACATTATGTGCAGCCAAGTTCCCTGTCACTTAAATAGTCGTCTAAATGCTGATGTTGAACTCCAGCTCTTGCCAAACACAGATAACACATTTGGGTGACTCTTCCAGCTGGGCTTCAGCGGTGCTCTGCTCCTCTTCTGCACAGATAGCAGCTTTCACCGGGTCCGCAGAGACAAAACAGCCTCAAGTTTCCTCTGTTATACCCATTGAAAGCCACTCGACTGTGAGGAGAGTTTTAATGTAGTGCCACTTAGAAGGAAGAAAAACAGCCTTAAAAAGGTACATTTGCCAGTTCATACAGGTTCCCCCTCCAATCCCAGCGTGGATGGCCTTTAAAGGAAGAATGTTTTCACATAATTAAATCTATTCTGTAGCCGCATGAAATACCCCCTTTTACACAAGCTATTCTAAATGCACGACGTCTGACACTGACGTGTTGCAGAATCTGAAAATATAAAATATGAATTATTTTTGATGGCAACAAAGCTGCATTTAAAAAAGGGAATACCGGGTCGTGTAAATTTGGAAAAGGTGAATTCTTGAAAGCAGAAACACCGGAGCAATATAAGAGATTTGTTCTCAGGTATTTCTCGATATTTTTGTCTCAATAAACAACACTGAAAGTTAATCAGTTTTTACTTTAAAAGCCAAAACCTCAACTAAAACCACAAAACTGTCATTACCTTTCTTAACTGATGCACACAAATACTTGATGTCATTTAACCCTGACTACTTCAAATTGGAGCAAGAAAAAAAAAGAAAATTAACTAATCATGCAAAGTAACCAAAACAATTAACCTTTGTGCAGATTATTTTTTGTTGTTTGATAGAGAAAATGTTTTCGGAGGTTAGATGTAAAAAAAAACAAAAAAAAGTCAAATGTATTCCTGTATCTCTAAACTCTAGATGAGTTACTAAGCCTCTGGTCAGACCTTTTCTCATTATCAGAAAAACAACTGGTCATCCTCCCCTCCTCTGCTCCCTCCCTCCCCTCTCTCATTACACCCAACGCTACAAGACCCCACCACAGAAAAATCCATAGCCATCGATCCCTTCGCCCAGCCGCGGTCGCCACAATTATTCTTGAGGAGGAAACGTTGGCGATAAATTACATGTGTGCTTTTCATCTGCTGTTCTGTGGCGGCGAGCCCTCTGAGGACCTAGGTGGGGACGGCGAGGTGGGGTTGTACGAGAGTGACGTGCGGCTGTCAACACCGGAGGAACTGGCTGGCTAAAGGCCAGTTTTTACTTCAGTATAGAATCGACGCCGCAGCCATCCCACCCACAACACAACCTGAAATTGACTACATTCATCTCTGATTCACCTTCACCTCTTCCTTTATCTCCACATGAATAACACTTAACCTTTGCTTTAAACATTATTCTAACATAACAGTAACCCTAAAACCACATCCTCATATTTTACAGCCTCAGCCTGAGCTCAACCCTGACTCTAAACCCTACACTCAAACATTAATCCTCAGTCGCCCCAGAAACACAAAGCTGCAACACAACTCAAGCTGTGGGTCACAAGCATCACTTACACAACCAGGTGTACCCAAAATCTAGCGCCAGTCACGAGAATGGCCCACAACCACCTTTCCCGCTCTCGTGTGCATCGAGAGACGTTAAACTTTTTGACGATTTGAATATTGGACTCATTGCTCATTTTCCTTTGTTCCCATGATACACCTCAACCCTCCACCTCTTCCTGGAATTAAATATACCTTAGTGCGAGACAATAGAAGAACTTTGAAGTCAAAATATACAACCTCTCTTTGCAAGTATATATATATTTATATGTGTGTGTGTGTGTGTGTGTGTGTTTTAAATAACCCCGGAGGAGTCTGCATGCAGCTATAATTGCCTCCCTCATTAGTTATGTTTTAGCAGGAGCGGATGGGAGGGCAATTAATTTTACCGCTTAATTTTTGACACAGAATCCGCTGCTGTATTGATGTGCTCGCCATTTTGGGTCTCATTTTTCAGGGAAATTAATTGACAAAGTGCGAAGATTTATCAGCATATCGCCAGATTAAGCGACAAACTGAAGCAATGAGGAAATCAATTGTGGCCCTGTCGCTGTGCTCACCCCCCCCCCAACACAACACCCCTCCCCACTCACTCCCCACAACGACCAAGAGCCTGGGAAAAGCTGGGTGGGTCAGACGCAGTGCAGTTATTTATTTATTTGAGTCGCTCATTCATCAGCCGTTACAAATGACCCTGGCGGCTGACGACCACTGAATCCCCCACCCCCCACCCCCGCCCTCCTCCTCACCCTCCCTCAGACGCGACTGGTGTGTGAGCAGGGAGAGATTAACATAAAAAACACACAAATCATCGAGGAACAATGAATCCTGTTAGAGGCAGGAGAAGGAGAGCAGAGGTGTTAACTTTTTTTTCTTTTTTTTTTTGAGGGGGGGTTCTGCTAGTCACAATCAGTGACTCTGACCACAGGATGATGAAACTAGACATTTTCTATGAGGTCTGGCCACGATGTAGTTGAAGGTGCATTGCAAAATACGTACTTAACATGGTTGACTTGGTCTTATTAAGTGCTTATTGCTGAACTGACTATTTGAAATAAGTCCTGCAGCCTCAGTTGTTATTCCTCTGACTTGTCTTACATGGAGCATACAAACAATATAACACATAACTTTTATTGTAAACTTTTGAAAACAAAAACTGGATCTCAGAGAGACCTTGACAAACGCAGGCATCTCATTGAATGAATCCTTCACATTTCATTAGCTGTGACCAGACAGCATATAATGCTATTCCTCACTCTACAGGTTAATTTGAAAAACCTGTACTTTTACACTCAAAGTTCATTTGTTTTAAAAGGAAAGTCCTTTTACTATACTGGAGGAACATGTTGTACTTTTTACTCCACAACATTATTTAGTTTGCAGATCAAGGTTATAGCAGAACACAAGATCAGTTTATAAAAAATACATTATTATAGATTAATCCACCAAGAATTATATGAAGCAGTTCATATTAGCTCCACAATAACCATCTACAACATTTAAGTGCTGATTACGTGCTACTTTAAATAACATGCTCCATAGCTAAACATGCTATGGTTTGCATGTGTCAAGAGGAGACAAACAGTGTTTCCCTTTAACTTAAGCTCTTTTACTTTTGGCTTGAGAAAGGGGAAAAGATTTAAAAAAAGACATCATTGTAGAAACTCTTTAAACTGCGTTCCTATTTGTCCTATTCCTATTTACTATATGAGGAAATCAGAGCCTGCCATGCCCAGTAACAATCACTGTTTGAGGAAGAGAGGTTTAGCAAACAACCAAACTTTATCATTCCAAATTATATTTTGACAAATGATGACAGAGGGGACCTGTCGTCTCCTCTGTATCTGTTCAGTTCCATGTGAATAATGGAGTTCGACCGGTCCTTACATCTGTATGGATGATTTGTCAATACAGTGGAATGAATGAGGAACAGGGTGCATGCTTGGTAATTCTCTCAAAAACCACCTAGTATAAGCAGATGATTTTGAGATTGTCTCTCCATGTAGTGCTGCTCTTCAACAGTTATTGTCACATCATGGTACAAATTGTGACATCAAATATATTGAAAAGAAGAGTGTTGTTTTGATTGTGAAAGGATGAGTTCTTCCTGCCTGGTGTGACTGTGAGATTAATACGATATTTGGTGCATAACATAAACAATGATCAGATGTAGGGGTGACAGTGACAGAAATACAAATGTCAACAATATTGCGATGCAGGACTATTGAACCTTGAGAGCCCAGTCCCAACACACTACCAAGAGTGTGTTTACAGTTAACAACAATAATAATATAATACATGTGAATCATAAAATTATAATTATATTTTGCAGTAAAAGTTAGGTAATGGTACCAAAACTGTAAATTAAAAAAAGAGAAAAAATGAACTCATCAAATGTTATGGACATCTACAGATATTGTTGAAAGCCAAACGAAAAACAAGTATGTTGGCGAGGAAAGGAAAGGTTGCATGTGTTCCAAAGGTGCCCACCTGCTCTGCTGTAATAAGAATCTAATCCATAGATGTGTGTGCAGGTGATCTGGTTCTACAAACGGGATTATCTAACTCTATACTGAGTTCAGCTATTTTGTTGTCTGAAATGTGGAACCACTGGTTTTTGCTATGAACCTCTTTATGAGCCTTAATATAGAAGAATGGATGAAAAAAACAGTGGATATCAGCTGTATTTTTGGTGCATTGTTTCAAGGGATTAGAACGGTTACTTTAGAGGATTATAGACCAATTACACACACATGACAAAACCAAATCAGTCAAGACTTCAGCAAGTGACTTTTTCAGCCAGATCTGTGTGTATCACTATACTTAGCTCCAGTACACACTTTCCAGTCATTCTGCCTGCTATGGTACCAGAATAGTTCAACTTTATATATTCTACTTCATTGTTAGAAATGCATCTCTATGCCATGGATTTATAACATTTGAACAGATCATATAAATGCAGATAACATGTGTGTCAGAAGTGTGTATAGTTAACAGACTCTGCAACGACTGCAACTGGAGAAGCAATGTCGGAGGTCTCAACGGAGCAAATTGTGTTAGTTGCTTTTGGTCTTGCTAATCAAGTCAGGTCTTGTCGCTCAGGAAAATGAGGTTGGTTCGGGTTTAATCTTAATTCTCCCATTTTCCAATGTTCATACTTGGTCACCCTTGATCTTTCTAGCTCTCTTATTCAATCACTTTCTTTTTCCATCTCAATCACTTCTCTCGCTCTCTTCAAGTCTGAGACACACACACACACACACACACACACACCACCATCACGCCACCCCACACCTTTCCAGGTGACAGTTGGGTGACAGCCTGACGCCAGTCGGCTGATGGGGAATGATGAGTGCTGGAAACAAATGAAAATAAAACGTCTAATTATGTCAGAGGTGCCTTGACGTTACATCACTGTTAAAACACATTTAAAATAACATCCAGCAAGTCCCACACTTACACACACACACGCAGCAGGCACCCGTGACGGATGGAGGGCTCTCCTGCAAGCGCTCAGTCAGGCTGTCAGGCCACTGGCTGCTGCTGCTTCTGTCATTGACTTAAAAGGGCATCAAGGAGCTGTGTGTGGGACATTACTGAGGCCGAGGGGAAACTGCTGGGCTGCAGCATAAAGACACTTTCAAAGAGGCTGACTTGGGCTCCTATCGAGGGGCTATTATTCAAGACAGTATCCTCCCACCGCCCACCGCACCATCTGTCTATCCAAAGTTTTTAGAAAGTGAAAAAAAAAAAAAAAAACTCAGAACAGTCCCACAGTGTACTTTACTGTACATAGAGAAATGAAAGGGAAGGATGGAGTAAGAAAGAAAAGGCAGTGTATAGAAATGAATGATAAAAAAATACCCATTGATTTTCTTTTTTCATTTCATCTCTGCTCAAATCCAGCTTTTTTGTGTTGGCACCAGTGTCACAGTGACAAAAAAAGAAAGAGGCAGCCGGTGATTATCACATCAGTTTGTTGCACGACTACATAATGTATTGTAATATTTTTGTGAAATAAAAACTCAGTACAAAATCTCTGTTTTTAATTATTTGGGTATCTACTTAATGGTTCTCATTTTTTTTTTTATTTAACCTAAAAGACAATGTGAATGTGTGAATGAACTGACGTCACACATAAAAATACAAGTTCATTTTCCTGATTTCTTTCCCTCCATTTTGCATCTGAGTGGAACCCATGCTTGACAGGTCGAAACACTTTACAGGATCAGATGGATTTGATGAAAACACTCTGGCTACATCCACACTGATATGTTTCTGTTTGAAAACACATCAACTCTGCTTCAGATAAGCCCTCGCTAAAATGGAGAAGTTTGAACTGCTGCTGGCTGTGTTTTTGTTTGAAAACTCAGGGGCGGCGTTTTAGTCTGCACGATGGAGACATTTAGAAATTATGATGTAAACCCTCACAACCGCCTGCTGATTGGGTCTTTTCGATCCCAACCTAGCGCTTGATGATTCGTTAGGCTCACATGACCCCCTTTCGGAGAAAACAAATCGGCATTAGCTTTGGCTACCAGTGTAGAATGCAACATTGATAAAGCAATTACAAGTGATCCTGACTGTGTTGTCTTTGCAAACAGCTGTTGTGCAGTTAAAATCTGCATTTTACAATGATTCAACTGCATAAAAGAGTAGAAGACGAGCAGCTCCTGTACGTGCACGGCCACTCGATACGCATTTTCAGGCGTGTTAGTATGGATGGTTATTAAAAATGATAGAGTCAAAACCCTTGTGTGGACAGACACTGTCTTTTAGTCTTAGTTTGAAAGTGCCATTTTAAAATGAAAATGTTGTACGGATGTGGCCGTGAAATACACATGACAATCCGTTGGAATTGGGATAGATACGAAACCTTATATTTTGCATTAATGAAACCTTTAAGTGTGAAGGATATCCAAAAAAAAGAATAAACAAAGACGAAATTCCCAAAACTTTTTGGTGCTTTCATTCTCCTTTTGGCTTCTCACCTTTTCTATTGAAATATATTTGGCTGAAGTATCATCATTCAACAGTGACGGTCCTTTTGGGAGGTAAGGGTTTAACCATGAAACAAGAGTGTCTGCAAAAATGCCAAGAACTAGTTCTTGACTTTCTCTGGATGTTGAAAATCAGTACAGATGGACAAGTCATGGCTACTATCAGCCAAAAACGCGTGTATATTTATTCCAAACAAAGCTGTGAAGATTCATAATTAATGTGAGATTTTCACAGTTAACACATCAACTTCATTTTGTTAAATACACTGCAGCTATAGAGGGATGAAAAAGTACATTCTGTCTGGTCCAAGTGTAGTGTTTCTTGCTAAATAACTAACCCTTTGTCCTAAACTCATACAAACACTGCTTCGCCTGTAAAAAGCAAATTGAACTAATTTTGCATTTAGAGAGTCTGTGTTTGTGTAGGCGTGGAGCATTAATGGTTCACGTGGAGGTTGCTAGTCTCACCGGTGTGTGTCCTGTAGTGGTCCTTCATGGCCGACAGGTTGAGGAAGGCGTAGTGGCAGGAAGGCCAGCCGCACTTGTACGGTTTTTCCCCACTGTGCAGTTTCCTGTGGTTGTTCAGGGCCCATTTTTCACTGAAGGTGCGCTCACACAACTCGCATTCAAACTTCCTGCAGGAGGAGGAGAAGAAGAGAGGCAGAGAGGAATGAGGAGGAGGGGGGGAAAAAAACGAAGAGTTATTTACTGATCCCAAAGCTGACATAAAATGCTAGAAAATCTACCCTGTGAGAAAGGAAATGGAGGTTGCTGGGTACGAACGCTCACACCCACAGAGCACAGGGCTGTATGATTGCGTGCTGTACATCTACGCCCCCACTCGCCCCCACTCACTCACTCACTCTCTCACACACACACACACACACACACACACACAGAATGCAGTTGGCTGCTGGTGTGTCATGTCTGTATAAGCAGGCATTGATTTTTCTGTCCTGGCCTGCCACCTCCACCATTTATTCTCTGCTTTGCACCAGGGCCCAGAGGACTAGAGAAATTCTGTTACAGTCCACACACACACACACACACACACACACACACACACACACACACACACACACACACCCCGCAGGGCCAATGGGGAGAATAGAGTTCACCTGTCCAGTGTCCCCGACCACTTAGCCAGGGCTAAATGAACAGTTTGCAACATTTTACCTCTCACTCCTCTCATAAGCTTCCTTCCTCCATCTTAACATCTCTTCAAACGCGTCCTTGTCATTTATGGTCACATCATCAACATCAGTGCTCACGCTGCTTTACATAGTCAGTATCAATCCAATAAATGCAAAAACATGAATTGTCATGTGTGGTGTGTTGTTTTGTTGTACGATGCCAAATGCCTCTTCTGAGCATCAGAGGAGAGAAGTAAATATGCATTCCGTTCTTTCTTTACACTGGACATCTGTCTATTTCTCCATGCCAACGCCTACGACGCAACAAAAGCTTCTTTTTTTTTATCTATGTGTAGGATGTGTGCACCTATATTCATCTGCTGTGTTATTAGACTTCAAGAGACACATCGAAGCAGAAAAAACAAAACAATAGAAAGAAAGCCTGTGCTTGAATTAATCTTTACCCCCGCGCTATAATTTAGGCACAGAATGACTAATGTGCGAGTCATAAACAAATGAAGTCGGGTTTTGGGGAGCATTCGTCTTGCAGCGAGGGCCATGTTATTTTAGGGAGGGCAGCTGTCTTTAAGTCCTGATTGTGTCGCTTAATCCCTGTGGTATCTGTTTCATAGCGAGCAGCATGACACTCACCTGAACAAATAATGACTCCAAGCAGCATGTAGCATGTGTCTGAATCAATAATTCAAACTCATACATCTTCCTTACTGGAAGGAGGGAGAGGAGGGGGTGGTTGCAAAAGAGAATGTGAGGGGAGGGAGGGAAAAGGGGAGAAAGGATGGAATTAAAGATGGGGAGGTGGAGAGAGGGAGAGACGGAGAGACGGAGAGGAAAATGTGTCCCGGCTTCCATATCAATCTATATGTTCCATAAAGATAAATCTAAATGTGATATGCATGTCGTCCCCCAACTAGTTGAGAGGACATTTTAAGCTCACTTACCGGGAAGGATGGAGCAGCTTTGAAATGGCGCCTTTATCACCTGGCTCTAAGCTCAAATGCATATTTAAACATCTCTGTTTTCCTCTCGTTCTCATCAACTGACTTGGCAGAGAATTTATTTGACCAACAGATGTAAGTCTGCATCTGTATTTCCTTCCACTTCCTTCCTCTCTGTGGTATTTATAGAAGCAGCTCGTCGCCCATGCCACCGTGGGAGAGGTAAATAAGATGAGTGAAGAGATGCTATCTTTTATTGTAAACATTATGCACAACACTCCTGCTTTATGAGCTAAACGGGCCATTGTTTATCACGGGGCGTAATCGCAAAGCCAGGCAGGCAGGCAGGCCTTGACGTGGGCACGCGGCATGCTGGGATGGAGAAAAACAAGGGAGAAAGGGAAGGCAGGAGGAGAGGAGAGAAGATGGAGGAGTCAGGGCTGGCAGAGTTGACTATCAGTGGGGGTTTTGTAAGGATGAGAGGAGGGTTTGCGTCTGTTTTTATGGGATCAGATGGAGTGCTTTGATCTTGTCCCCGCATGTCAGATCCCGTCACGATCCACCGTCCCGCCCATACATATGCATACTGCCTCTAAACAGCCAGGCACCATGCAAAACACACCAAAGGAAGGATGTAGAGGGAGAGAGGGAGAGAGAGAGAGAGAGAGAGAGAGAGAGAGAGAGAGAGAGAGAGAGAGCCGGAGCAAATGTGCTTGTTTATGCATGTGTATGAAGGAAAGATGGAGAGAAAGAGAGGTCTGCCAATTTAAACCTGAAGACTTTATATTATGCTTCCAGACCTGAATTTAAAAGCAACAAAACAACCTCCATAAATCCAGAAAATGCTGCCAGAAACCTCAGTTTAAGATTCAACAGTTTGAGAAAGTTAAATCTCAACAAGGAATTTATGGTTTGAAAGTACACAGTGGGCTGTGATTTGTAACTCTATGTAATGAAGCGAAGGTGATGGTGATGATTTCAATGCAGCAAAAGAATAATGGCAAGTCAAGAAAAAGAGGAGACACCAAAACAGGTGGTCTCGGTCTGGATCAGTGTAAAAACTTTTCGGGGAAAGTTGTTGGATGTTTTGTAATTTTTCAAAAAGACAAAAATGATTATTCACTGCTATCCTCTGTTTTTGTACAATAAATGTATTTGGGTTTAGGGCAGATCATTTTAAGAAGGCCCTGAGAAATGTGATTGGCATTTTTTTTTTGACACAGCACAAAATTTAAAATGCTTTCATTTATAAAGAGGTTTCTAGTCTTGATGAGCATTCAAAGTGCTTTACAGAACAGTTTTGTCATTCACCCATTTGCACACACATTCAGTGCATCTATGTGCAGCACTTTCTCTATCCCACATCACTCACACACTGCCGGTACAGCCGTGTTTAGTCTCTCACCCAGGGATACTTTGGCAAGCTGAATGGAGGAGCCGGGGATTGAACTACTGACCTCCTGCATGGAGGGCGACCCGCTATACTTCCCCAGCCACAGCTGCCCAAAATGCTTGATCAGTTAATTGAGTACATAAACATCATATTCAATGAAAATGAAAACAACCATTAACAGCAGCCCTATAGTCACTAATTTCCCCTGTGCATTTCCCTTAAGACACCTGTGTTGGGTGAGAGCATTGCTAACAAAGCTTTAGGGAGTTGTGATCCCAGTGTGAGGATACTTTCTCTGTTGTATTTAAGTAACAAGCTCAAATACTTTTAGGTCTGATATTTAAAGCAGTTCACTATTTAAATTGTTGTTGTTCGAGCATCCTGGCGTTAAGGCACTGCATTCTGGAGAGGCCAAACCACAGTCAAATGAGAGCTGCTGTAAATTGTATGAACATAAAAACACTTAAAAAGCAAGGAAACATTATTCAGAATCACACTTGCTATTGACATTTACTCTGAGACACAACTGATCAGCTGGAGGCCACAGCGAGAATAAACATCTGTAGCTGTGCGAGCAAGTTCTACCTTCAGTCATTATATCACTGCTCTTCTTCCTCCTGCATCTCTCTATCTCCTCCCTTGCTTTCCTCCTCCCTTACACCCCTTCCCTCCTCTTCTGATCACGCAGCAAAGCAACATGATTGACACCCTGTGCAGATTTATTCAAAGACCCAGGTGGGTCCTCTTGCCTGTACGTTCAGAGAGCTGCATGCTACTGTGTCTATACTGTCACTCATTACCATATCTATACTGTGGTGTGATCCTGTCATCAGTTCAGGCATATAGGGCTACTGTCAGAACATCACAGGCCACACTGGCCTTAATTGTGATATAAAATCCCTAAGGAGGAGTTACTGTACCTCTAACAGGAGGTGGAAAAAAAGGACCTGACTCATTACCACACACTCACTGTCACCCCCAAGTGGTGAGGTGCTGCTTGTTGTCTGGGACCTTGCAGAGAGTGTGCTGATAGTATGAACTGTAATTGTGCTTTCTAGACGAAAAATAAGTAGGAATGTGATTAAATAGGCCAGTTTGTATAATTAAGACCACAAAAACGTGTTCTCGAAATCTACAAATCACAAAATAAAGATGCTGTCATAAACCAAACAGACGCCCCTGCTCCTCCTGACTGCAACTTCAGGTTTGTGCTTCACACGGAGCATCTTTTTAATTGACTGAATTAATTGCGTTAGCCGTTTTTTAAGACAGCTCAGAATTCCTTCTCTGGTTTCCTCGTCGTGTTGGCCGGTCGGTGTGAGAGGAAGCAATCCGCCGATGCTCTCACGCTGCAACACAAAGACAGAAAAGAGGGAGAGAGGCCGACTCTCGCCTCAAGCCAAACTGACACAAACAGACAACTTCAAAGTGAAGACTGTTGTTTATTTGGTGAAGGGAAAAGAGGGGGGAGATGGGTGAGGGGGGTAAAAAGAGAGAAAATTTATCTGATATGCAACTGTCAGGAGAGCATTTTCACATGCAAAATAGCGAGTGAGTGAGAGAGATTACCTAGAGGGAGGAACATGACAGCATTCACTAGGGTCAGGATGGATCATCATCTTCAGCCCCCTCCTCCTCCTCCCTCATCTCTCTCTTTTTCCCTCCATCGCTCTATCTTTATCTCTCTCGTGCTGCGCTTCCCTTCCTCCTTCCTTCCGTTTTCCCCTACTCTGCCTTTCCCTCTCATCCTGTTTTCAGACTCCATCACTCTGCACTTCGACAACCCGGCAGCTTAAATCCAGACTAAATTAGCTGAATGAAGATTAAATCATTTGGCCCTGAGCTCTCCAAGATATTGGGAGGAAGACTGAGTAAGCCTTAAATGGTGTCTGACTGAGCTCGGACCTATATAGAGTATGTGTCTGAGCAGAGGCTCTTCCTTCAATGGCAGTCAATTGAAACCTGATTAGAGGGGGGGTGTTGGGTAAAAAATGGGGAAAAGATTAAATTTCTGGGACAACTGTTTCCTAAGTAAGGCCGCTGGCTTCGTTATTTTTCGTTTGCGTGCACAATGTCGACCGACGACAGGCTTGTTCCACGGGTAAGATATTGAACTGAGCAACATCATCGCTCACAGTGCTCAGGAGAAAGCGCTGTAGTCAATGTGGGCTGTGGCTACTCGGATCAGCTTTGCGGGTGGTGCTTGTTTAACATTCAAACAAATGAAGACAACAATTTCTGGCCCGACGCAGGAGACACAACAACGGCACAAACTCTGCGGCAAAAAAAAAAGAGCAGAATCTCCCAGGAACAAGTCCGAGAATTATCCCAGCATAAGGGCATTTTA